TGGAGGAAGGAGCAGGACTCGCTGAGCAGGAAGTGGGGCCTGGGAAGAGGCTGTGGGAGCAGGGGAAAGATGCTGGAGCTCAGGACCTTCAGATTGAGACCAATTTGCTGCCCAGACCTGGGACTGGGAGCATTTGCTCCCCTTCCCTGCTTTCCCATGGGCCTCTCACCTTGGCAAGTGTGGAGTAACTGCTGGCCATATGGTAGAGGTAGTTGTGTCAAACACCTTTGTCTGTGTATCCGTGACCAGCTTAGAAACATCCTGGAGTAGGTAAACAACACGTGCCAGCAGTAGGTGTGCTCAGCCAGGTGGACAGGGCATGGATCGGGCCTGTCTGAAAAGCAGAATGCGGTAGACTTCACTAGGAAAATTTGACAGTAAAATGACTTTGGTTCTGGTTTGAAATGATCGGTATATCTCAGGCCCCTGCTACACCTTACAACTGTTATGCCATACACTGGTGAGTCATGCAGTACATTTAGATGAGGCACAAGTGCAAAATAAATTATCATGCGATTAACTGGTGATTGGTGCCATAAATTTTGACTGGCCAACACAGGCAAATTAATTATCACGTGATAAAAATGACTCTAGCTATAAAAAGAGCAAATCAGCTATAAAGCTAATACTTGGAAATATGCAACAAGTCTATAGCTGTTTTTTTTTTATCTAGTTTTAATTTGAACTACAACAGGACTGTCAGAGTAGCGTGCAGACTATAGCAGGGCCACGGGCACCAGCAGTGTAGCTCTCTGTTGGTTAACGTGCTGTCATTATAATAAGGTGGTATATCAGTCTCCAGATTTCTCATTTGCTAAAAATACCTGTAGAGTTCAAGCAAAGTGTCATTTGTAGATCCCTGACCACTGAACTTGGATTATGGTCTGGTTTCACATAAATTGTAGAAGAACCACACACCGTTTCTCTATTGAGAGGCTTACATGAAGCAGTAATTTAGATGTAAAAAGCTTTCTTGTTGCTCTTAATTTGTTTTGAATACCATTCAAAAGAACATTGACAATGCCATTTTATTTCTTCAAAATGCCTGCTTTTGCCTTTGCAACTCATTTTGAAAGTTGTGCATAAGTTGCATGCACACCCTAAATAGTTGGCTATAGGAAAAAATGTTTCCAAGTGGTTCAGGTGTAGTGGCCCTATTGGTATTTTGGTCTCTGATTCTCTCTCCTATGGTTACCAGTTTTGTGGTATACTTGGAGGTATGAATTTAATGCACAGAATATGAATCTGAAATTGAGGAGTTTTGTTTTAGGTGATACTGACTTGTCAAGTCTCTATAGAATAGGCAGGCAGTATGGGACTGTGACTTTCATAGAGCCACAATATGCATGAAAATTCTGCACTTTCTCCTGTCAAGTTCAAGGCCAGAAGGGACTTCTAGGCCTTCTAGTCTGGCCACCTGCACACCAACCATTAACTTTCACCTGCCTTCCCCGTGGCCAATAGGTAGTGCTTCAGTGTCTTGGGGGTGGAGGGGAATCCTTCCTTATTTCTGTAGACAATAGACTAAAACCTGAAGCATGAGATTTGAGTGTAGAGAGCTGCTAGTGTTATATTGGGCAATCCGTAGTAGGGGTGTGCAAAATGAGCCGTATTCGATTCGGATTCAGCCTGAACTGCCGACTGTGATTAGATTTGTTGTTTTGGATCACAATCGCGATTCGATTCAGCCAAATCTGAATCTGAAGATTCGATGCCGATTTAGCGAATCAGTGATTCAGCCATAGACACAGCTTTAAATGTTTTTTCTAGATACCTTGAGATACCAGGCATGGCTTGTGAACACTGAGATAGTGGGGCAGATGGAGCATCCCGCAGGAGAACAGGGTGGCCCCCCCACGTGCTTGGCGGCAGATCCAGAAGTACTTCTGGTCTACTTCCGAGTCTGCCACCGAGCGTGCAGGAGACACCCCTCCCACTCCTGTGGGACGCTCTATCCACCCCAGCGTCTCGGCATTCACAAGCCACATGGTACCTTGACTTATGTAGAAAAAACATTTAAAGCTGTGTCTATGTCAGAATCATTGAATCTCTCCAAATCGAGTTGGAGGGTTCCAATTCGATTCAGAGAGATTAATGGGTCTCATTATTTTATTTGGATTCAGAGATTCAGCTGCCAAATTGGGCCGAATTTCTTCTGAATCAAGCACTTGTGGATCACTTAAAATGGAGGTACATAAAATCCACAGCAAGTCCAAAAGGTACAGAGCAGCTATGGGCAGGTTGTGGGGGTTGGGTGCAACTGCATTCTGCCTTGGCTGTGCAATGAATGCCCTGTGAGCTCTGAGCTCTCTGGCTTGTCAGCATGGTTGCTGAAAACTGCCTTGGTGTGGTGCCAGGATCCAGGGGGTGAAGACCACTACTGCTCACTCTCTCTCTTTTCTTCTGCTGCCAAATTAGGTGCTGGGCAAGTGAGTGGAAAGGGCAAGTGGCAGTTGTGTTCACCCCTTGGGTTCCAGAGCCGTGCCAAGGCAGTCTCCAGCAGCCCTGATGATGAGCTTGGAGATCTCACTACATGCCTTGGCAGTGTGACACATGTATTACTGCACCCCACTCTCCTTAGATCTGTCCATGAGAGCAAAGAGCTGTGTACAGAGGCAACATCACTTCCACATCTCACCAATACTCTCTCTCTTCATTTATTTAAGCTTTCTCCTAGTCCTGTCACTTATCAGCCTTATGGCTAAGATGAAGCATACTGGGCACATCTGAATTTTTGGGACTTTTGGTCTGGGAGTTGCACATGTGCTGTCCCAGTAGAAAAAGAGTAAGACCTGGGATTTGAGGGATGTGGAGATTGAGTACAGACAGAATTGGATATGGATTTGGGTTGGTCATTGTTTAATTTGGACATGATACTTGGTTTAACATATGCATCTAAATAAAAAATTAAAAAAATTAGTCCCCGTTTTGATAGTACTACACTGTGGCATCTGACTTTTCTGAGCTGCTGTATTCTCTAAAAATGTCTCCTACTCTATAACTACATCTGTCATTGTTTGTCACTGCTTCGTCTCCCTCTTAACTACATTTTGAGGTCTTACAGAAGAGAGAGAGTTTTTAAATTCACCCAAGGCCATGCTAATTCCAGATAATGAAAGCTTTTAACCAAAAATTGGAGAAGTCCAAATATACTGTATCAGCAGTTGCTTTTGTCAACGAAGCTAGAGTTGTTAAACTCAAATTTGTTGTCAGGAAATGTTCTCTGCCTTGCAGGTGCCTATGGACCCCACATATCATTCTTCTCCAAAACTCATTTATTCCCTCAGCTTAGTTTACATTGTGACACACCAATTTATGAATGTACAAAAACAAACAACACCCCCTACAAACAGGCCTCCAAAAGGTATGAAAAAAAGATTTATTTTCAAAAACTGTTTGCTATAGCATTTGCCAGGATGAATAAAGATAAAGATGAATTCAACATTAAGAATAAACAAAGCCAAAAAATCCTTTTTTTTTCCCCCATGCTGATATTTCACAGGCTGCTAGCATTGCTCCTGGACACTTTTACAGCCAGCTTTCTGATGTCTGCTGCCAAGGGCTGTACCAAAGCCACTTTTAGGATGATGTTCAAGTGCTTGTTGCGGAGTCCTGAGCATAGTTTTGACTTGATGTTAGTCACTGAGACCATCTAGTCTCACAGGCATATGCGCTCATGTATGTGGATTAACATTCTTGATGCAAAGCATTATATTGCTGGATAGATTTCTCCCAGGTATTGGTAAAAATCCATGAATTGTAACTGTTGAGAACTTATCCTTTAGTGTGGTGTTATACTGAAGTTTACAGAGTTCCATATACAGCTCCTGAAGGGGACTATGTTCCACAGGGCAGAGAACAGGGTCCTGAAAAATCTCAACTCCTTATGGAGCCAAAAAGTCAAAGAACCTATCATGGAATTTGAGAGAGATCAGCAATCTTGACCATATGCTCTTCCAATCCCTCACGATTTTCAATCCCAGTGGCATTGCACAAGCGACTTCAAGGTGGGAAGATGTGTTATGTTGCACTGAGCTGGTTTTCCCAAAGAGATGGCTTCCTTTCAAAGACACAGTGTCATGAAATTCAGTCACAACTGTTCTGACCCAGCGTTCCCGTGGTCAGGGTATTGATTTGCCCCATTATGTCAAACAAAAAACAAGGTCCTGCAACCTCTTTTCATCTTGCAGGTCAGCTGTGGGTTTCTTTCATTAATAAATACTTGTTTAATTTCACACCACAGTTCAAAGAAGTACTTTAAGTGCCTTGCAACTCAGCCGGTGTCCAGTTGCCTTCCTCCAAGAGCTGGTTGAACTGCTTGATAGTTGAGGGCCTGGGTAGGATGAAAGTCACTGTTTTTGTTTGTTTGTTTTTTTAACCACAACATTCATCACCTGCTCCATTTCTAGAGTTTTGGCACAGAGGGCTTCCTGATGTAGAATGCAATGAAAAGCACAAAGCTCATGGCCTGGATTGACACTGCCCTTTGATCTTGAATTTTGCCATAAATCCTGCCTGCCTTCCCACCATGGAACGAGCCCCCTTTGTTGTAACACTCATTGTCCTTTTCCAGTCTGCATTTAATTTGTCCAAAACTGTGGTCATGCTGTTGAAAATGTCCTGTCCTTTCATCAGCCCTGTCACATTTCATATCTTGATCGACACTCTGAGGAAACCCAGGTAGCTGTCCAACCTCACTTCCATCTACGCTTTTATCAGTTGCCATTGAAAAAGCAGCAAGTGCCATGGTCTTGTTCTGGAGCCCATTCTGTAAATAATCTCTGGTCAGATTCTGTTGGCTGCTAGGTTTCTTGAGGTGCTGATATTGGCAAGAGGTTGCCATTTCTCTAGCCATTGAGTGTCTGCAGCCTTCATCATATATTTCTTTGTGAACTCTCTCAAAGGGTTCAGAAGAAGCAACTGTTTCTTGAGAAAGGACATGACTAACCCTTACTGCTCTGTCACATATGTGATGCATGTGTGTCAGGATCAAGTGTTGCTTTTTCAGTTACTCTAATTGGCTCAGTTGGTCTTCATGCAACTTCCCAGGAAACTTCACATACCTGACAAGGTGGCATGATTCATTGTCTCTTTAACGTTGCATTTTTTGGAAACAGCTACTGCTTACTTACAAGTCACCTGGGATTTCCATTCTCTTTCTGAAGCAGTAGGAGAGCCTCCATTTCTCTTGATACACATAGTGCTCTCTTTTGCCATAGTATTATACTGTGACACCTGACTCCTGAGCTGCTATTGTCCAAGACCGTCCCCTACTCTGTAGCACTTTGTAGACATGAAGCCTGGCTTACAGTTAATGCAAGTGTATGAGATGTGACTCTACACTTGTCTGTTATGCAACAGATACCCACATTTGTAAAGTCATTAGTCATAAGTCCTGTAAATAACTGCTGTTGTGTTTTCAAACTCTTTATTCCAGCTGCTGTGTTTACACAGTCCTGCCTTATACACAGTCCCAACTCTTCGTTTGTGTCCATTGTTTGTCAGCAACAAAAAGCCATTGCACTTTCCCACTAATACTTTGCTATTTCTTGAAGTGTGCCATGTTCCAGCACTGTTCCCTGCAGAAAAATTTCCGTATGTTACACCAACTCTGGTCTTTCCCACTGTTAGCAAGGGATGGACATAGGAAGGAGTAGAGAGAGAGATGGGAGTGCCAGCACATAGACAAGCCGTGCCTATTGGAACAACTAACACAAAACAAAAGGAGGAGGAAAGAAGGAAATTGAGGGATGTGGAGACTGAGTATAGAGTTGAATGTGGATTTGAATTGGCTGTTGTTTAATCTGGACGTGATATTCAGTTCTGAATTGACAGAAGAAAAAAAAATGAAGACAAAGAGCAGTTACAGACTGGTGGTGATGTAAGTGGCCCTGGCCTAGATCAGCCAGAGAACACAATCTGGTTTACAATAGTGAAGGTAGAGTGAGGCCACCTTCTTCAGTGTTAAGCTTGTGGAGGGTACCAAGATTCTCAAGGAAATTCCAGGAAAAGATGATGGGCTGGACAATCCAATTGAACTTAATTTGACATGCTAATTTATTGGCGGGGGGGGGTGGGGGGGGGGGGGGGGGGTAGAAAGTCTTAGTTTTCCTTTTTCTGGCAGTTTAGCACATTCTTCTTTAAATGCCTGGTTGCAAAATTTTTTTCAGCTTAGATTAAAATGTTTCAGAAATAAATATATCTGAAGGATTTGATTTTAAAAGAAGAACAATCATCAGTAAATCCTAGGACTCTTGCACACAAAGATAGGTGGATCCAGGGTGCAATACTCTTAGGCTAGAAATAAACGTTGTCAAGCCAAAGTGGATCAGCGGATTTGCTTTATTGGGTGAAACACACATTGCTTTGTCTCGCATCAGGTAGGGGCCTGGCGTAGGACAAGGGTCCCATCTCCTTGACTATCCCATACCTCCTTGCCAGGATGTGTGCTGACTCATCCCTCTGGATGAAGCATAGGTCAGCATGGAGGTGAGGGAGCTGGGGAGTGCCCAAGGCCCCATGCATCCACTCTGGGCCCCAACCTCTCCACCCAACCCTCCCATTCTTCACCTGAAGGCATGGATCAATGCAAGTCAAGGCACAGGAGCTGGGATTGCCTTGGTGCCCCATGCCTCCACACTGGGACTTGGTCTAGGTTCCACAATGAGCCATGGTTTACTTGGAGGCATGGGTTAGTGGGGGAGCTAGGAAGTCCCCTTTGCATCAGGACTTGCACTGACCTATGCCTTTAGGTGGTTTCAGTGTGGAGGCACAGGAAGTTCCCTGACCTTTGTGCCTCCCAGGAGTATGTATTTTTAAGCAAGGAAAGCTCAGGGTTCCCTGCTTAAAAAAAAAAATGCTGGGGAAGAGATCCCAGGGATGCATCTTTATAAGCAGGGAAACCCTAGCATTCTTCCACTTACAGTGCATTCCAGTAAGTAGAGAAAGCCAGTCAGGAGCTTGAGGGGCCAGATCTTGCCTGAGAATTCCTTGAAGCATGCAGGATCTGGCCCCTCAGACTTCAGAAGCACCTGCCCAGGGCAGCTGGAGAGCGTGGGCAGCCAGCCAGAACTCCCACCCCAAGCAAATAGACATCCACTCCATGTAAAAAGACCTGTTGCATACTCTCTTCACCAAAAAAAAGTTTTAGTGGCATAAAAACAAGGAAAGTTGAGCTCTGTTTCTACCCTTACAGGTGCACTAGATTAGCTCTTCCAGTATTTAATTGGGAAAGGAGGGAACCAATACATTTTACTGTGGGGGGGGGAGGGGGGGAGACAAAACAAAAAACCCCACAAAAAACCCATGGGGTTTTTATGAAAACCCTGGGTCTGGGGGATCACGGCTGCTATGATCTCTCAAGCCCAGAGGCACATGATGCCCCAGGCCCAGGGGTTTTATGCACCCCCAAGCCTGGCAGAGCATGGCTGCCATGACCCCCCCCTTCAGCCCTGGGTGTTTCATGCATCCCCTGAGCCTGAGAGATTGCGGCTGCTATGATCGCCCAGCCCTGCGGGTGCATGGGGCACCCCTGCAGCTGAGCGCCCCTCAACTCAGGAGACTCCCAGCCATGGAAGCTTGCTTCTTGCTGGTGAAGGGGGAGCCTGGGATCAGGCTCCCCCTGAATAGGCAATAAGGTGCAAAGGGATCTAATGCAGGATTCCACAATCACACCTCCCTCCACGCACCTGTGACATAGCAGGAGGTGTGATTGTGTGGATTGCTCATTAGATCTCATTGCCCCTTTACCTGCTTGCAGGGGTCTGTGTTCATAACCTACCAAGCTTGTTAGACCCAACTTATAGTTGCCCAGATAGTGGTTGGTATTGACAGCTTTTACAGTAGGTTCCAGTTTCTTGCATAGCATTTTTCCCCAATAAAATGATGCAAGTAAATGTATTGTCCATATAAATAGAATGGATTCCCCAGGAAAAGAGAAAACAAAACCTGCACAGATCTGGGTAACATAGTTGCTACAACCATCTTGCACATTATGGAGTGTAATTTTGGAAAATATTATTATAAAATAGTAGAGTTGGAGGGGACCTCAGGAGGTCATCTAGTGCAACCTGCTGCTTGGGGCAAGATGGTCCCTGACTAAATCACCCCAGTCAACTGCCTGCCTAACTTGTTCTTAAAAATGTTCATGGTCTGTAGATTCTGCAAACTCTCTGGGGAGAGCCTTTTGCAATGCTTAACCGTCCACATAGTGAAAAAATAATTCCAAATATCCCACCTGAATTTCCTTTGCTGCAATTTAAGACTGTTGCTCCTTGTCCTGTCCCTCCACAGACTAGTTTATCTCCATCCTTCATATAATCACCTCTTGGGCATTTGAAGACTGTTTTTCAAATCCCCCTCCCCTCCCCTCCCAGTTGTCCCTTCTTCAAACTAGATAATGCTTGTGCTTTCAACCTTCCTTTATAAGTCATATTTCCCCAGCCTCTAATAATTAGGGGGTTACCTAAATCACGGTTTCGTGGAAACTATGAAATCCAGGGTTGCCTGTGAAATCTGTGGAAAAAAAAATCCATAAAAATAAGTTTTTATTAAGTCTTTCCTTCCCAGGCAGACCTTTCAGCCCTGGAAGTGGAAAGTCCTAGCTGGCAGGGCAGCATGAAGGGAGCAGCAGACAAGATGGAAGGGGGTGCCCCTCCAACCTCATCGCTTTTGTGGCCTCTCCACCAATCAGCGCTGGGGGGTGGGACTGTTGTGAAATCCTGGCAAAATAGGCTTTTCATGTTGGGACAAAGGCATATGACAATGGCTTTGTCTTATTATGAGTTAAGACAGTCCCTACTAATAATGTTTTGCACTTTCTGTCTGTACCCTTTCTAGTTTGTCTACATCTTTCTTGAAGTGAGAGGCCCAAAACTGGACATGGTACTTCAGATGGTGGCTTATCAGTGCCAAATATAGTGGAAGAATCATTTCCCTTGATTTGCAAGTGATGTTCCATTTAATACAACCCAGTAGACTTGCTTTTTTGCAACAGGAGGACACTTGTGGGCTCTTACTCAGCATACAGTCCACAGTGGCCCCAAGTCCTTCTCTGGGCTATGATTCTGAAATGTTTGAAATAATGCAAGCATCAACAGATACAGCAGATACAAACTCAGAATAGCAAAGGATCTTATGAAAACAGCGCAAACAACAAATATGGTAAACTCACTAATAAAAAATAGAAAAAATAGCTACTGGTAAGATCATTCAAAAATAAGAATGGTCTCATGAAAAGAAATATTATCTTTGTCTGTGAATAGGTCCTAACTTTTTTCTCAAAACAATTTTCTACTTGATAAAAATAGTCAAATCTCCTTAAAAATTCTCTTTGCTAAAATAGAACTTTACCTGCATCAGTTGCTGAGATGGGTGATTGGATGTCCTCATCTCTGGCAGGTGCATCTTAGGTCTTTGTGGCCTTTTCCTGAGTTACAGCTTCATGCAAGTCTGCATCAGTTGGTGTCCCATAGCAGATCATGTCCTATGATGCATCCCCTAAATATGATGTCATTCGCTTCTAACAGAGGCAGACCTGGTGTGCTTATTTGACAAGTTTATTCCTCAGGCTTTGCCTTTCCAGTTGTGTATCCATGGTTTCTATCTGTTCAGTCTCATCCATCCCTTAAGCTCTCTCAGATGTCATGAGGCCTTCAAATATGTCTTCATGGTGGTGTGAGAGAAAGAGTTTTATATCGAGGTACTAGCAAATTGCTCGTCAAGAATGACGGGGGGGTCAGAGATGGAGCCCCACTGCACCCCTCCACCCCTGCTGCTCTGGATCTGGCATTGCTCAGCTTCTACCCCCTCCCCACCAACTCTCCAGGTCCAGCCCTGCTCTCCCCCCCACCCCCTCCAGGTCTGGTGCTGCTCTAGCCCACTCCCAGCCACTCCTGATCTGGCCCCGCTGTAACCATTCCCCCCCCCATACTCTGAAAGTACATAATATGGTAACTTGATAATATTTTTTACAAGAAGAACTAACTAGAGAACAGAATCTCCCACTGGAAACTGAAATTGCACATTTCATTTTGTCCTGAGTTATTAAGAAATGGGTAAGTCTGAATCTTCTGCAAAATGAAGCATTCTGCAATTAATTATTCCAGTATGTCTTGTGGATATATAATTGAAACAAAGATTGAAATGGGCATTTTGGGTCCAGTGGAAATAAATGTTTTGATGAGAACCCGTTTAAATTTTGACAGTAAGTATTAGGCCTGTGTGAAGTGGCTAGTGTTCGCTTCAGATTCAGATTTGGCTGATTTGGGGGACAGCGATTCAATTCAGTGATTCGAATTGCTGTCCTGGTTTGATTTGGCTGAATCTGATTTGGTGATTTGGTAGCAGGTGAAAGTCCCAATCTTTGAATCAGCCAGGCCAGGCCCATCCCCCGCTCCTCTCCCAGCCAGCCATGGCCGCCCCGCCTGTCCCACCTCCCAGCACTTGGGGGGGGAAAAAAAGCCTCTGCTCAGCAGGTGCTGGCAGGCGGGGGGCAATCCCTGCTGCCCCCCACTGCCCCACGCTGCATGGAGGTTCTGCACAAGCTCCCAACTCCCCCCTCCCCCAGCCCCCCCACGGGTGCCAGCTCCAGCCCTTTAAGAAAAAAAAAAATCCTGAAGAATCCCCAGGACTCACTGCTCCTGCAAGCGGGCAGGGGGAAGAATCCCCGCTGCCCCCAGCCAGGTGGGGGCTCTGTGCAAGCCCCTGAAGCCCCAGGAGCGGTGAGTCCTGGGGCTTTTGTCTGCTTTTTTTTTCCTTAAAGGGCCAGAGCCCCGGCAGGTGGGGCAGCTGTGGGGGGGCCGGGGGAGCAGGGAGGGGTCGGGGGGGCTCGTGCAGAGCCCCACATGCAACATGGGGCAGTGAGGATCACCCCTGCCCCCCCGGCCTGGCAGCACCTGGTGAGCACTGGGGCTTTTCTTTAAGGCTGCAGCTCCCTGCTGCAGCTGCTGGGGACTGTCCGCATCATCTTTGCCAAAGATTTGGAGAGCTTTGAATCGATTCAGACCTTTAAATTGGTCCCTTGATTCGATTCGCATTTGGCGATTCGGCCACTGAATTGGGCCGAATTGCCTCTGAATCGAATCACCACCCAAAGCTTCTTACAGCCCTGGTAAGTATTGACATGTCCCTGCAAAATGGCTTGATTTTGTTGATTTAAGCATTTTCTAACTTCAGTGTCAGAAATTTTTTTACTAGCTCTATTGATCCTTTCCCTTAAGAGAATCTGTATCATCTCCTTGAACAGAAATTAAGCAGACAAAAGCATGTTTCTCTTGTATACCTGGATCCACACAAGTGTTATCAGCGTAATGATGTCCATTAGGGAGTATGATTTCTCTTCACAATCCTAATTGATATATTATGGTAGCGGAACTATGTAATGTGTACCTAGCCAAAGGGACAGGAATGAGCAGTTGTAACATGAGGGAGGGCAGCTGAAAGCTCCTTAAAATTCAAACTTAATATAGGCTTTGTGTGAACCTAACTGAATTTCTCTGTTCCTTTCCAGTTTAGGTCTAATATCAGATTCTTTTCATATGTTCTTTGATTGTACTGCTCTGTTGGCTGGGTTAGCAGCTTCAGTTATTTCAAAATGGAGATCAAATGATGCTTTCTCTTATGGGTAAGTAATTTAGACATAACAAGCCAAATGTTATATGCTACAGAAGCGCTATTTAAAAATAGCGTTGTGTTTCTGGAAGGCAAGTTCATTACTTTTCTAAAATGTTTTCATTATTGTTAACAGACAAAAATCATGTAATGAAACAATGTATTCTGCATGGGCTTGCTTACTATAGCAGTTAGGTCAAGTTAGTTCATTCATGTTATTCCACTGAAGGTAGCCTAGTTTAACTCAGATGAGAAAATTGCACTGTAAACTTGGGATATAAAAAGTAATTTGATTAGCAGATATTGGAGTAAACGCTTATTAGAAGCTATAGTTTTAACTGCCCTACCCAAAGCATTACTTTTTTGAGAGTATGCAGCATTCAACCTTCAAGCACCAATGTTTGCTGTGGGCCTTCTGCTTTGTGTGTAAAATACCATAAAATTGAAGCTGGAGGCATTTGCATGTGGATGGGAGTTAAAGTTATGGACAAAATGTGAGTTATTCTTTGAACTAACAATGCAGAGAATAGATTGCAGGAACAGTGTGTTACTATTTTGTTTGCTAGCATTCATTCTTGTTGGCTGACAGTCAAAATGAAACCACTTTTCCGTTCTTAATCAGTGTTTTTCATAAACTAGACTACATATACTTAACATACATGTCATATACTCAATCAATCTGGTTTTGTTTTTCTGTTTTAAAATGTTAGGAATCCTACTGATACTTTCAAAATGCCAAGCGTTCCAGTGACTAAGTGAAAGTTAATCTGGTTCTTTTTCTTTCTTCCCCCTTGTGAAAGCAATAATCCATATAAAACTTAATATTTTGAAAAGTGTTGCTTTGCCAGATCTAGATCTACCTGCATCATAATTGGGGTCTTCATAGGTCTACATTGGTCACTGCAGACTCTGTCAAAGGCTGACTTTTGTAGGTCAAACTCAAATCTCAACTTCTGTTATCAGAGGGATTTTTTTTAATTCATGCCCTAAGAACATGTTTCCTACAACCAGGAATAGTACAACAGATGTGCTCCCCAACTTTACCAGTAATGGAACAAGTACTATAGTTTTTTGTTTTTGAACTGCAGTGAATTTGCCACAGTTTACCTAAAGATATATATATTGTTATGACTATTTGGTTAACACCTAGCTACTCACGTGGCTTCTAGCTGTCCATAACTGACTGTCATTGATTTAGACTGGGGCAGGCAATTATTTGGGCCCATGGGCCACATGGGTAGCTCTGGGGAGCTGCCGCTGGCCGGTCAGCACTTTCGTCACCCTACAGTAGCCTGGAGCCCGTGCACCCTGCGACTTCTCGCAGCCACCGCCAACAGTGCATAGCCCCAACCTCGGCTCGTGGCAGGTCCCTTGGTGCCTGGACCAGACAGAACCATCCCATCCTGCTTCCCCCTGGGCATGCAGTGGGGCTGGGGTGGCTCCATAGCTGGACTGCCTTTTCTAGGCAGTCCAGGTGGTGGTGGTGGCTCTGGCCCCAGCCCCGTGGTACTGGCAGGGACCTGTGTGCTCAGCCCCACCCTGTGCCTGCTCCGGACTCAGCCCAGTGGAGTGGACCAGTTCCAGACCAGTCAGAACCCACGTGCACAGCCCCAACCCGGTCTGCCCTGCGCCTGCTCCAGGCTTGCCTGCCCATGCTAAGCAATGGTAGCAGTGGCAACAGCCAAGCAGAAGCGGTTGCTGGGCGCGAGGGGAAAAGAACTCATCCCTTCGCCGCTGCGGGGCCCTTCTTGCTGCATCTGCCCAGAGCCTACACCCAGGCTGCCCTGCCACTCCTCTCTGCCGCTGTCACTGCCACCTCCAGGCTGCCCAAAGGGGCAGCGATGGTTCCTCTGCACTGCCACAAGGCAGCCCAGGCATGGGCTCTGAGTGGCTGCAGCAAGAAGGTCTCAGCAGCAGCGAGGGTGGGGGCTGGTTTTCCCCCACGTCCAGCAGCCACTTCTGCCTGGCTGCTGCTGCTGCTGCTGAGCGTGGGTAGGTGAGTCTGGAGAAGGCACAGGGTGGGCTGGGGTTGGAGCTGTGCATGTGGGTCCCCACCAGTGCCATGGGGCTGGGACCAGTGGCAGTGGCAGCCAGAAGGAGCTGCTGCCTGGGCTGCTTAGAAAGGCAGTCCAGCTGTGGAGTTGCCCCAGCCCCGCTGCGTGCCCAAGGGGCAGCAGCACGCACCATGGGTCAGACAGTGCCTGAGCCAGGCAGGACCAAGGGACCTGCTGTGGGCTGGATAAAGTCCCTCCATGGGCCGGATTCAGCCCGCAGGCCATATTTTTCCTGCCACTGATTTGGACTACTAGGCAAAAAAATGTGCGTCTTATAGATCCAATATATGAAGGCAAGAAAAAGCAAGGTAAGCTGACATACAAATGAGTCTATTCACCTAGTATTTTCTTGTGTAGAAATTCTTTTACTCTTCATATGTATAGCAACGGCAATGAGAAAACTGTAAGTCAGAGTTTGGCAATATTTACCTCAATTATGTTGACACCAGATAAGTACTTCTGTGTTTTCAGCATCTAAATAGGAGTAGTAATATCTAATACTGCTTGTTTGATTCTTCCTAGATATGTTCGAGCAGAAGTACTGGCTGGTTTTGTAAATGGTCTGTTCCTGATTTTCACAGCATTCTTCATTTTCTCTGAAGGGGTTGAGGTATGTTAGGTCATCAATTGCAGTAAGTCAGTCTATTCTGAGAAATGAAGGTTGTTTCATAGACTTACTACTTTCGTATAGTACAGCACATTTAAGAGAATAGGGTTAGTTTAAGTTATTGTAATGGATTGTGAATTTGTTCATGTTCATAGCCAGTTAAGCATGAGAGAAGTGAAAACCATGTAAAGCAGCATTTTTTTTTTCAGAGTATCTATATGACATTGAGCAGACAGTATAAAGAAGTGTGTATTCGTTTCAGACCTAACTCATCACGACAGAAGAAATATACATAATGTTTTATTGTTCTTCCCTATACTTCTTACCTTTTGTGACTGAGACTTTTTAAAAGCTTTCGGAGTTGATTTGTAAACCAGAACTTACTGATTTACTAATTTATCTCTTGGAAGATTGTTTTTGTGTCACAATACTTCTGCATCTAGTCGGTTAGAAAATGGACAGTATATTGCCTCCTTTTAATAGTGTGATAAGAGTATAAATGATGCTCTAAACTTGCTTCTTTTTTAGAGAGCATTGGAGCCTCCTGATGTTCATCATGAAAGACTTCTCCCTGTGTCTATACTTGGATTCATTGTAAATCTCATAGGAATATTTGTTTTTCATCATGGAGGTCATGGGCATTCACATGACTCTGGTATGCTTGTATGCTTGTAATTCTCTTTCTCTCTCTTTGTTTTTCCCTTTCTTGGTAGTTTATGTTCAGGTCCCTTTCTGGCCTCCAGCCAGAGCTTGGTTGTTTCATGCTTTGTGTTTTTTGGGCCAAGTCTGTACTGTTCCCTTTTAACCCAGGAGCTGTTGTTGACAAAATAAGCCCTCCCCATTCCACCTGGTGCATAGCAGAGACTGGCAGACGAGACAGCTTGGAAGCAGTCTTGAATATTCACCTCAGGGCTGTACTCAGGCTATGCCTTCGTAAAGCCTGAGAGTAGCACTGAAAGGGGCACTTGGGTGTATTCCCAAGCCACCTACTGTGCACACACCAGAGACCAGTAGTTAGATTGGGATGGGCAAAATACAGCCCATGAGCCAGATCCAGCCCACCAACTGATTGCATCCAGCCTACAGGCAATGAGTGGGGAGGGAGTCCTGCCAGTTGATTGGATCCAGCCTGTGGCTGCCCCTGTAGTGCTCTGTATAGGTCCGAGCTCCACCCGGGGCACCCCGTGCTGTGCTCCATTGCACATAGCTTACCAGTGGGGCTGCTGCTTGGCTCCCCTTGCCTTTAGTGGTGTCTCCTCCTTCTGCTTCTACTGTGCTGCTCTGGGCCGGGAGGAAGCTTCAGCTGGGTGGCTCCGGCTCCAGCTCCTGGCTGCTTTCTACCCACTCTGCCCACCCAGTGCGGGCAGTCGAGTGGGTGGAAGGCAGCTGGGAGCTTCAACTGGGTGAATCCTGCCCCAGCATGCAGGGCTCTGGCTCCAGCTCCTAGCTGCCTTCTGCCCACTCAGCCGCCATGCCAGGAGGGTGGAGTAGGTGGAAGGCAGCCAGGATTGGAGTCAGGGCTCCGTGTGCTGGGGCAGGAGCCACCGAGCTGAAGCTTCCTTCCAATCCAGTGGTGCAGCAGGACATAGCCTGCGGAATGGGGTGGGCCACCCAGGCCATGGCCCGACCAACTTTTAGCACGTTAATTTAGCTAACTATGCAGTTAAAAAAATTGTTGTACAGTTTTAACCGGAATGACAGTTGCACATTTGTGGGTTATATAAATTAATGTGCTAAAAGTTGGTTGGGCCATGGCCCCGGTGGCCCACCCATTCCATGGTCTATGCAGCAGGAGCAAGAAGAGAAGCTGCTGCTTGAGGTCAGGGGAGCTGAACGGCAGGGGCATTGGGATCAATCAAAGCAGTAAGCTGTATGCGCTGGCTGGGGCTGGATGGGGGGGAACGTGCTTACATGGCTTGTGACAATTTATCAAAACCCCTGTGTGGCCTCTGGTCCCAAATAATTGCCCACCCCTGAGTTAGATGATCTGGAGCAAATGGACAGGGCTTGTTTTTTTAGCAGCTCTCCTGGTGTTGAGAAGGAAGCTGTGTAGACTTGCCCTTGGTATCAAGCTTAAATTGTGTACACGCATATATGTGTATGTACGTGTGTAGTTTTGAGAAGTTTTTACTGTTAGTTGTCAGTCTCTTCCTTTGATTCCCAATAACTGGGAATTGTAAAATGATTAATCTGCTTTCTGAAACCTGTACTTTTCTGCACTTGGAAAAGGTTTTTAAAAATTTTCAGTTAGATAAAAGGTTTCTCTTTTTAAATAAGAAACAGGATCTAACATAGAGTACTTGCAAGGAAACAGCTGAATAAAATAAAATTGAATAAAATTTCAGTGTAGGATGGAAATCATGTTTCTTCGTATTTTGCAATTTTATATTCATTTTCAGAGGAAATGTAAGATTAGTATATACAAATATGTATATGGTCAATATCCTGAGTTTTTTATTAGATTAAGATGCCACACAGTTTTCCAACATAAACTATAAACCCTAATTCAGTCTGACAACCGTTTAAGCTTAAGTTTTTAAAAACATATGGTACAACTCAAATGAATATTAATCCTATTCTCACTATCCACAGTTGGAAGGGGGGGGTGTGTGTGTGTGTGTGTGTGTGTGTGTGTGTGTGTGTGTGTGTGTGTGTGTGTGTGTGTGAGAGAGAGAGAGAGACTTTTTTTTAATTTTCTAAAACTTTATTATACAAATATTAAAAACAAATGGTGAAAGTGCAGAGGTATATGACCCTCTCTGGGGCTAAGTATGAAACAGTTGTTAGCAACAAAAAAAATATGTCACCAGAGATTGAAATCCCCTCCCCAACACTCCTCGTGGGGTTACATATAGGACCGTCTGTCTGTCTTCCACCTTGTAGAGTGCCCCCTCGATGTCCCAGTGTGATGGGGTTAGAGATAAAACGTATGTTATTACAGTGATATTAAATGTTCAGCCTGGCTTGATTTGAAAAGATAGCAGTGTATCTAATGAAGTGTTATGATGCGTTTCCAAGCTAGGTAAGTATTTAATGCAGCAGTATAGTTCAGATAAATTTAGAACATACATTTTTGGTATTCACATTGTTCTAATTGAACCGCATATAAGTAAACTGAGATTGTTTTGGAGGATATGCGTGAATCTTAAGTAGTTTAGAAATTAATGGAAGCACACAATTTTCTCACTATGATACTTGTTTTATAGGGCATGAGCACAGCCATTCTCTGTTTAATGGTGGTCTCAGCCACGGACACAGTCATGGAGGTCATGGTCACAGCCATGAGTCCAAACATGGCCATGGTCACGGACACTCTCATGATCACAGGCACTCTCACAGTCAAGATTATTGTCATGGTAAGTATCTATGATTACAAATAAAGACCCATGCACTTGTTTTGCTTCAACCAGGTCTTTGTAAATAACAGAGAAGATGTTGGCAACTTGCCCCATCAGTTAATACAGCTTTTCCTTGATTTATGTGGGTTTGATTTATGTGAATTCGCTCTTATGCGATATATACCTGAAATACGTTATATGCGAGGTAAATTTGCTGTTATGCAATTGACATAGGCATGCTCCCCCTCCCCCAAGCAGGTGAGTCTGAGAGTTTGTGAAGGGAGGGGAAAGGGCCGTGGGGCCGGGGCCCCACTCACCACAGCCCCTGCTGCAGCTGCTCTGGGAATGGCCGATGCCGCTGGGCTGCGCCGTGCCCCAAAGCCCACAGGGCTCTGCTTGCCCTTGGGCGCCATGCCCCGAACCACACAGCGTGGTGTAGTCCAGCGGCTGTAAGCAGGCGGCATCTGCCACTCCCAGGGTTGTAGCAGAGGCGGGCAGCAGCCTGCAGTGGGACAAGAGCAAGCTGGGGCCGGTGGTAGCACCAGGCTCTTCCTGGCACTCGAGCTGGGCTGCGGCAATGGGAGGGCGGCTGCTGCCCCCCCAAAACCTGCCCTCTTGGCACCGCTGCCGAGTGTCAGGAAGAGCCTGGTGCCACCGCCAGCCCCGGCCTGCTCTTATCCCTCTGCAGGCAGCTGCCCACCCCTGCTGCAGCCCTAGGAGCGACAGATGCCACCTGCTTGCAGCTGCTGGGCTGCACCACACCAGGGGGTTTCGGGCATGGTGCAGCCCAGCGGCTGCAGGCAGTTGGTGTCAGCCACTCCCAGGCTGGCTGCAGAAAGTGGGGAGAAGCGGGGTAAGTGGGGCTGCCACCCACCCCAAGCACTGCAAAGAGCCTGGTGCTGCCTCTGCTGCAGCGCCAGGAGTGGCAGATGCCTGCTTGCAGCCACTGGGCTGTGCTGCCCCCTCTCCCACCCCTTCCCTAGCCCCGGCCTCACTCTATCCCTCACTCACCCTATCTGATTAATTGTAAACTGGGTTCACTTTATGCGAATTCGATTTATGCGGTAGTCCCTGGAAACGCATCTACCACATAAATTGAGGGAAACCTATATAGAAGTAATGTTTTCAGATGTTAGTGTCCTAATGTATCTTATGATCCACTTGGATCAATATTGCTTCCTTTTAAGGCAGACTTTGGATGCTCCTTTATGAGCATTATTGTAAAATCAGCATTGCAATAATGAATGTAGTTTAATATTTGTGATAGGCGTGGTAAGTAGTAAAGATGCAGCTTAGAAAGCAGAGGAGAATATGCATGGGAAGAAGAGAAACATTTAACAAAGGACATTTCTAAATTGTCAGATTTATGTTCCTGTTAACACTGCGTTGAAATGTGCCATGCTGCTCTGTGGAAGTAGTGTAGCCTCCTTCACGGAATATTGTGGGCTAGTTAGTTCCACTCTTCTGATTGGCTCAATTAATTAGTTAAAAGCATGGTAGTATACTTGTTAAGCTGTTTAATTTATACCAGGGAAGAATAAAACTTTCATAGTGCTCCCTTTTTTCAGTAATTTGATGCGGGGGGAGAAAAGATTGGGAAAGAATAAATTCTCAGGTAAAATAAAATCCACAAAAACTGATCTGATGTTTTACTTGATGACAATAAATTCTATCTAAGAATACTCACCATAAGAAGGAAAAAACAAATTGATGAAAACAGAAAGTTCAGCAATGTTTTTCTGCTTTCCAAGAAGAGAATTAAAAGGATTTACTAGTACAGGAAAAGAAACTTTCAACAGTAAAAGTGACATGGGAAATTTAATGTTAAGATTAATATGTTTTATATAGCTTTTGGGTTATTCTAGAGATATGTCTTTGGAATATTAATATTCTTGGGCTGTTACTTTATTCAATAACTTTTAGTTGGAAATGGAGTACTTGCATTTTCAGTGCTCTGCTGAAGCTTGCCTTGTTGCATTTTTTTTTTTTTTTTTTAGGACTACAAATTTTGATGGCATTTATATAGTCCAAATAACTATGAGCCAAGGGCTGTGTGTTTTGTACAGCTTTGACTGTGCTTTTAGTATTCAGCAGAAGTAAGCTTTTCAGATAGATTAAATAGTGCATATCTTGCTTAGTGTCCATTCTCCGTTTGGTTATGAAAAATAACCTTTGGAAAGAGCATTCCAAAGATATGTTACTACATGAGAAGACTTAGTGTTTTACCCCATCCAATCTTGACACCGTTCAGTTCACATTAGATACAGATTTTTCTATGGCTATGTTTCTGTATAGGAAATACAGTAATCTTCACTCTTCCTATGATGAGGTTAATCTTCAGATTAAAAAATGTACCTCTTAAGAATAATGACCAGCTTAATTTTGTGTCCAGTGCAAAAGAAGTATATTGCTGCTCTTAACATGTTTATTACAGCAGCATTATGCAAGCCAGTACATTCTGAATGCTTATACCCTATTGTAACTTCATGCTGTTATCCAGAAAGTACTTTACTTTCCAGCCAGAGTTTTGACTAATGATTGTGAGCAACTTTGTGGTCTACTCAAACAAGCTTGAGAACAGAAAACAAAACAGAATTGATCCGTTTGAGGATAACTTTTATATAGCTTAATTTGTCAATCATTTTCTTTACAGACAATCACTCTTTTGAAGCAGCTGCAGGATCCAGCAAACAGATTTTACAAGGTATGAAATAAATAAGTATAGTAGTTTATTAGTTTAGATCCTAGCACTGCCTAGGTTTTGACTTGAATATTGGTGATGTTCTTTAGATATTAATAACAAACAGGTTTTGGTGGCTTTGAATTTTTGTAGAAGATAAACCATTGTAAAAGACTAAATACAAGAGTGACCTAATTTCTATTTTTTTTTAAAACCTAGCTATTATGGCAACACATGCTATGGAAAAAGCGTAGTTATGGTGGACTATAAAATCAGAAAGCCCTAATCAGTGTGACAGATTTTAAAAGGTTCCAAGGTTAGGGGGCAGGGCAGGGTGTGGGACAGAGCTGCAGGGGCGGGGGTGGCTCTTGCAGCTGCAGGCACCATGGGAGGGTACGGGGGAGGTGTCTGTGTAGGCTGGGGCTGGGGCTGTGCTGGGCTCTTCCCGGCGGGTGCGGGCTGCACTGAGCTGCGCTCAGGGTGGGCAACAGCACTGGGAGGGGACTACGGGGGGGCTGCAGCCACCCCAAAATTTACCGTAGCCCCCACATCCCCCCCCCTCAGCGCTGCCGTTTGCCCTGAAGGCAGCCCAGCCCAACCCCTGCCAGGAAGACCACAGCACAGCCCCAGCCCACAGTGGCAGCCTTCCCTACCCCATGCAGATCCAGAGGCACATGCCCCCTGTGCCCTTCCGGGGTGCGTGCGGCAGCAGGAGCCACGCCCACTGGACGAGCTGTGGCTTCATCCCATGCCTTGCTCCAGCTGGACGGCACCTGCCCCAGCCCCACTCCCTCCCTCACCACGGGGGCCTTAATTTGCCCTCTGCAGGGCCATTCCCTCCCTTCTCCAGACTTACCAATTTCACGCAACTCTCCAAGCTGCTGGGCTGTGCTCCTCAGCGCCTACGTGTTGCGCTGCAGCTGCGCGCATGCATAGGGCACTTATTGGCTACATCAAGCAAAAAAAGCTCATTTCCAATGCAGTCATTTTTCTTTATATCAGTGCCAATCCAATATCGGACCAATGTATCAGTGCACCTCTAATAGTTACTTGACATAACAAAGCAATATGTACACCTCTGGCATCTCTTCTTTGTGTGGTTCCCCATTTTTCTGGAATAATGGTCCACAGTCAGACCTTCACATTTCCTATAGACTACCTTTCCCCCTCATCTCATGTAATTGAATGAGTGTATTGCATTTTAATCTGTTTACTTCTACTTTAGGATCCATCATTTAAGAGGCTACTTTTTTTGGCTTGGCGATTACCAGTGATTGTCAGCTATTTTCAAAACAATTCTTGTCCTGTCCATCCCACTGTATGAATTGCTCTCTATTGGATGTATGTATGCAGGACTTTAATAAGTTTGTAGGTGCCTACTTTTTAAGAATAAATGTACAGCAGGACTTTAAAAATTGTAAAGAAAATTATGGCCGTGTTGTCATCTTGTAAAAAATGAACTAGATAAATGTGAGTTTAACATTATTGATCTTCATTATGTTTATAGTTTATCGTTTATATGTAGTTGTATAGTGTGTGAGCACGTGTGTATACACTGTATATACACACACTGCACTATAGTGTGGTGCCTGTGGCTCCGTGAAAAATGGGATCCCACTGGCCTTAGATGATCCAAGCCCTTATGAGCCTACAATTCAAGTCGCTGAGGTAGACCCCAGGGTGGAGAAAAGGGTTGGTTATAAAATGTAAGAATGAACAGTAAAATGGCAGGAAATGTCATGTTAATTCCATAATTTATTTGGGGTGAGTTCATTTAGGAGAAGAAACTAAATAGAAAGCAAAGTGAAAGGAGGAGGAAGGTAAGAAAGGCATGGGGGGTGGGAGGGTAGTGTGAAGTAGAGGCAAAGAGACTGTGAGAGGGAAGAGAGGGTTGAAGCAAACAGCTAGTCAGCACAGGACAGAGAAAGTCTGTTCAGAATTGTAGAAATTCTCTTAAAGGCTGTTCAGCTGCTTCCACAGGTTAAAGTCTCTGACTGGTTCTTCTCTCCATGCTTCCCCAATGTCATATAGCAAGCGAGGGGATTCCATTCTGCATCCTCCAGTGCTCCTACATGAAGGGGGTCTCTAGGTTCAGTGGGATGTTGGAGGAAAGGGTGGTCCTGGGGAAGGCTCCCTCCTCTGTGCAGCAGTAACTGCTTTAAAATTAATACGGAACTATTTAAGTTTTGTTATTTCTGCCAAGTTCTAGTGAAAAATCCTAAGGTGATTTAGGACCATTATTTACAACATTGGAAACTACCTTCTCGTTTGTTGTGCAAATAATAGAGTGAAATGAAGATAGTGTAATTTCTGTTTGGCAGGCACATTTCAATTGGAACTCGCCAGAAAAAGATAATTAAGTCATTATATCTTTGTAATTTATTGCTAAGAAGTTACTTAAAATCTTGTTTAAAATGAGTCTGTTTAAAATATTTTTAAATATTAATTTAAATATGTATTTATCTGACCAGTGATATTTGGTTTTGCAGGTGAAATATTTCCGGTTGTAAAAGCTTATACATTGTAAAAGCTGTTGTTGAGTAGGGAAAATACCCAGTCATGGGAAAGTTTATGAAAAATGTAACTAGTTAAAGTTAAAAGTTAGCAACCTTTAAAATTAACTTGAGTTAAGTTAAAAGTTAAGTATTATCATTTTCAACTAGTTAAAAGGTAAGTTAAAAAGAGCATAACTAATTAAAAGTTAAGTTGATTCATGAGAAATGTGTGAAACACAGTGAATTACCTCTTAGCATCATTTTTCATTTTTAAATGCAATGAGTGGGTTTCTTTTCCATAAGCCCACAGAAGTACACTAATTTACTCAGAACTCACCTTGCTTTACCTGAAAACGATGTTATACTTGTCATACGGTTTTCAGAATAATCATTTACCAATACCTATGTAATGTTAGATCCTTCTCACCCTCTCCATGTGAAGTACTTTGTAAAAGTTAATGCATCATATAGGTATACCAGAATAACAGAAAGGAGATATTCATAGCCAGGTGACAAATGAAAGCTGTTTCTACAGAAAACCCCTGTTGTTACAATTTTTATTGCTCAAAAGGTAACAAAAGGTATGAAACACATCTGAATTGGAAATAATGAAGGTGTCTGAAAATCAAAATTAGACTGAAATGAGAAAATCAGTTTAAGTGAGAAAAAGAATGTTCATTTGCATAGCAGAAACTGTTTAAACATGCTTGTTGAAGTTCAGCAAAAGCTGCATTTCAAAATTAACATCTGACAATTTTCCTCTTCTGTCTTGCAAAATTAAGTCCCCACTACTGAACAGTCGCTCTATATGGGCAGATGAGGGAATGCTTATTCCCACTCCTGCGGCCAACTGGCTGCCCTGTTGACTTCTGCAAATGCACAGAAAATGCCAGCATGAACTAAGGAACCCTGGGACTTGTAGTTCTTAAGAGACCATATCTCATAGGAAGGCACACTACTCTCTGTCTCTTATACAAGAAGTCCTAGAGTTTCAGTAAAGAAATATCATTCCATGCAAGTCCTAGGGAGTGGCTGTGTCAGGAAAAACTCTGGGAAAACTGGATTTCATATTTTTTTTAACTTTTAACTTATACTTAAAAAAAAAAGTTAGTTAACCTTTTTTTTTAATTAGTTAAAGTTAAAAGTTGACAGCTGAAAAATTTAACTAGTTAAAGTTAAAAGTTAGCCATTTCTTTAACTTTTTAACTAGTTAATTAACTAGTTAATTCCAATGACTGGCAAATACCAATAATGACCAGCAGAGAGCTCCAGAGGTTTATCTTCTGCAGACTACACAATAGATTAAAACAGTCAAGAGTGCTAACACAACAGTCATGCAGATAAGATGTGTTGTTATTAGTATTTTGACAGAATAGTCCATCTTATATTATACTGTCAAATAATGATACGCTAGCAATATCTACAACTTTTATAACTCATGCGCTGCAATGCTTTACAGAGATTTTGCTTTCTCTGGTAGACTTTTAGCCTATGGGCCACAGGAAGTAAAAATTTGTCTCAGCTGTTGTTATAGCCAACCAGTTGGTCAAGAACTTTTAAATTGGTTACAAGTAGAGGTGCACTGATACATCAGTCCCATATCAGATTGGTACCGATACAAGGAAAATTGACAGTATCTGCAAATGGCTTTTCTTGGCTCATGTGGCCAATAATGTTGCAGATATGCCCTGTGTATGTGCAGCTGCAGCATGCAGGCTGCCAGGTGCACAGCTGGGTCTGACTGGTAAGTCTGTTGTGGGAGAAGAGGCATGGGGGGCAGATTGAGGCCTCTGCGGTGAGGGAGGGAGTGGAGCTAGGGCTAGGGCAGGTGTTGCACAGGTGGGGTGGAGTGCAGGACAGAGCCATGAGTGGCTCATTTGGGGTGGGGTGGCAGCTCCTGCCGCTGTACACACCCCGAGAGGGCATGGGGGGCATGTGCCCCTGGATTTGTGTGCAGGGTGAGGGCAGGCTGCCTCTGCAGGCTGGAACCAGGGAGACACTTGGCTTCCAGGGTACGCGAAGCAGCGGAAGCTGCCCCCCCGTGTTCACCAGGCAAGCCATTTGTGGCTCCATTTTGCTCTCCCCCTGATTATGCAGTGCCTGCCCCACTCCCTCCCTTAGTACTGGGGGTCTTGATCTGCCCCCTACTACACCCCTTCCCTCCCCCCCCGCCTCTGCCCCCCAACAGACTTACTAGCCAGACACTGCTCTCCAAGCTGCCTGGCTGCATATCGGCAATCGGATCGGTATCAGCCGATATGTCTCATTAAACATCGGTATCGGTCCAAAAAATCTCTGTTGGTGCACCCCTAATTAAAACTACTCTGGCAATTAGCTGATGGCAATAAACAAGCATATTCAGTATTTCACAGAAAGTCTTTTGCAAAAAATAGTCTGTAAATGTCTAAATGCTCTTTTTTTTAAAAGTTATAGTTCCAAATGCTATGATGTACTACATTAAATCTGTTATATGAACTTTTTGTAATCCATTACTTAAAAATAATTATTTTCAAAATGTGTCAATTCAAAGAGCTTCAAGTTTTAAATGCATTGATTTTTAATTTCTGTCCTTTTAGGTGTACTTTTACACATAATTGCAGACACGCTTGGAAGTGTTGGTGTAATTATATCTGCGCTATTGATGCAGAATTATGGTCTAATGATAGCAGATCCTATCTGTTCGATGCTTATAGCTCTGCTTATAGGCATCAGGTAAGTGATTGATCCCAGTAAAACATTCAGTGGCATTTTTCAGTACTATTTATGATAGTTTTAATTGCAAATCAAAACGGAGTATCTCAAAAAATAGTGGTAATTCCTGGCAACGTTATCTTTGTCTAAAAATAAACAGTTACCTTTTTCTGTCTCTTCTTTCTATTACATGGTCCTATCTGTAATATTTTATTGCTCTAGTCATCTTGGGCACTTATGCATATGCCTGACACCTGCTGTGTGTCTAATTAGCACGCTCCAGCAGCCTTGGTGTCATGTGTATTCAGCATCCCCACAATTCAAAATGGCTGGGGGGTGCTTTAACTAAAGCTCGTTGAATGAAATTTAGTTAAAGTGTCCCTGCCACCATTTTGAAGTGTGTGGGACTGAATGCACAAGATGCTGTGGGCACTTTAATTAGAGTGGCCCCAAAGAGCTGGTCTAATTGAAGCACCACCCTCACCCCAGAGCATGTGTAAAGATGTGTCGTCTTTGTTAGCAATCTTCATATTTTAGCATTGTTGGATTAGTGCTACAAACACCCCTCAGTTTTTCATCTTGTAGACCTATTTTTGCCTTGTGTGCAGTCTGTTTCTGCTTATGTAAACTGATGTTCTGTACTACTAAATAGAGCAGAATAGCCTCAGTGGAGTGGAGATGAGCCATCTGGCACTAGATGTAGGTTAGCCCTATCCTAATTAAGGCTGCTATGCTCTTCAGAGGATATTGCTTGAACTTTTATATTTGTCTTGAGAATTTCTGGGTTGTTTTAAAAAATAAGAGCGAGGGTTACTTAATAAAGCATTAACTGACATATATTTCTCCCATGATTACATTTTACCAAGATCATTGCAAATTGAATGTTCTGTTTTCATAACCTGTTTATCCATTTTACCTTATTTGTTCAGAGATGCCAGAGTTGAGAAGCACTTTTCCAGTAACCATTTGGTAGGGGGCAGAGTATCACAACTTCTGATGTACACTAAAACTAAACATATCATTTTCCTGTTAAAAAAATAGTAAGGTGAACATTTGTTTGTGACTGCATTATGTTTTACCATATATAGGAATGTGGCAGCATTTAGAGGGTAGCCTTTGGTGTGACTCTACATACTTATCTTGTCAAACAAGTATGGTTTCAGCACTGAATGTTCAGGAATATCTAAGTAAATCAAGTTCAGTTAGTTAATTTTTATAAAGTAGAGGTGCACCGATATATCGGTCACATAGTGAATCAGTACCAATAGAAGGAAAATTAATATTATCAGCAATTGGCTTTTTTTGGCTGGAGTAGCTAATAATGTCACCAGTAAATGCCACATGCATGTGCACAGCCGCAGCATGCACGCAGCCAGGAATGCAGCCAGGCAACTCGGAGAGCAGCCTCCTGGGAGCAGGACAGAGCCGTGGGTGGCTTGTCTAGGGAGTGCCGGGGTGGGGGGGCACCCCCTGCCACTGCACCCAACCCTACTGGGGGAGGCATGAGGGTCATGTGCCCCTCTGGATTTGTGCGCTGTGCAAGGACAGGCAGCTTGCTGTGGGCTCAGGGCTAGGAGTGATGCCAGGATTTTCCTGGCAGGGGGGCTAGGCTGGGGCTGTGCTTGGGGCGGCAGGGGTGGGGTAGGCAGCAGTGCTGGGAGTGGTGTCTATGGGGTGGGCTATAGCTGCCCCAAAATTCCCCATAGCTATCCCTCCCAGCACTGCTGCCACGTGTCCCCACTCACCCTGAGCGCAGCCCTGGCTTGGTCTGGGAAGAGACTGGCACAGCTCCTGGTCCCCAGCCCGTAGTGGGCAGCCTGCTCTTGTACTGTGCACAAATCCAGGGGGGTACATGCCCCTCATGGCTCCCCCAGGGATGTGCATAGCAGTGGGGAGCTGCCCCTGCTCCCCACCCCGACACTCCTCGGATGAGCTGCCCGTGGATCTGTCCCACTCCTGTGGTCGCATTCACTGCCCTGGCTGGGCAGTGCCTGCCCCTGCCCCACTCCCTCCCTCTCCATGGGGGCCTCAATCTGGCCCCCCTGCACCCCTTCCCTCTTTCCCCCCCCTTTCCATTCCCCCCCCCCCCCCCCCCCCCCACCCCCGGGGCGCGGGCCCCCCACCCTCTCTC